TACAATTATTGTGCGATTGATTTTTATTAAACGATATGATTCTCTTCCTGCATCGTGAATGTCCATTGTGAACTTAATAATATGTTAAGTATGTATCTCATTACAAAAATTAATACCTATCTGCAGAATTTCAATACAGGTACAGCCGTATCGCTCGATTACGAGTACACTGGGACGAGGTCCTGTAAACCACGATGCACGATTGCAACATACATATTTATAAAAAAAAACAAGGTCTTTAATCATGAATTGGAGTTGAAACAGCACACATCATTTAGTTTATTAAGAAAATAAAAAAAAAAAAAAAAAAAAAAAACCTCTAGTCGTTACACACCACTTCTGTAATAGTTTCATTACTGACCCATTGCTTAATTATTAATTGAACGCATCTCGATATTATTCCATCCGGACTTTCAAACTTAGCAGCCCCACTGGAACTCTCGTCAAAAAATACATGGCCTAAAGGTCTAGATACCAGGCCATAAACTCAAAAAAAGAAATTGTCAAAAATTACCAGTAATAAAACCAACTGTCAAAGATAAACTTTTTGGCGGGAACGCCAGGAGTGAAGTTTTGTGGGTTTTGTTTTATTTTGTCTATTGATTGTTTCTCCAGGTTTAAATGCGTAATAACGCTGGCTTATTGACGGCTTAGTATCAGTGAAAGTGCACAAATGTGGTAAAATAAAACAAGCGCAGCTGGATGTAACTTCTCGGGATTCTCCAAAAAGTCCATTGAAAAAATCTCAATAAATGACCACCATTTTACTGAGATTATATTTTATCCCATATCATCTCATTTCATTTCACTTCCTATAATATAAAAAATAATAATTTTTAATATAATATAATATAAATATCCGGATTACAGCGGAGGTGCTTTATACTATGGGTGACTTGGGTGTTATGACTCTATATAAGATCTGCTCACATATATGGCAACACGGTGATTGGCCGCGGGATTGGTTGGAATCCATTATTCTTCCGCTACACAAGAAAGGATCAACCAAGAATTGCGACAATTATCGAACCTTGTCTCTCATCTCACATGCAAGTAAAATCTTGCTTCACATCCTCAACAACCGCATCCGTTACTACCTTGATTGGCAAATTCCGCAAGAGCAAGCGGGTTTCGTGAAGGGCAAGGGTACTCGTGCACAGATTCTCAACATCAGGCAGATTGTTGAGAAAGCATATGAGTTTGATACGCCAGTGATAATGTGTTTCGTCGACTATAGCAAGGCGTTCGACTGTGTCAACTGGAGTTGTTTATGGAAGGTTCTACGAGAACTTGGGGTACCAAATCATCTCATCGCCTTACTTCGCAACTTGTATGGCTCAAGTCAGGCAGTCGTAAGAGTCGATAGAACAACCTCGAAACCTTTTAAATTTCACAAAGGAGTACGCCAAGGTTGTATTTTATCGCCCATTCTTTTTAACGCCTATGGGGAGCACATAATGAGACGGACCTGCGAGAATTGGGACGGTGGCATTACAGTTGGTGGCGTGAAAATCACCAACCTCCGATACGCCGATGATACTACTCTTCTTGCAGCGAATGAGTCGGAAATGGTTGCGCTTCTGGACCGAATGGAGCGGATAAGCAAGGAGATGGGACTTTCCATAAACAGGTCCAAAACCAAAGTCATGGTGGTGGATAGGTCTGGAAAATTGGAACTCACTGGCGCATTAGACCTAGAAATAGTGGACAATTTTAACTACCTGGGTTCCAACATTAGTAACAATGGCTCGTGCGAGAAGGAAGTGCGCCGGAGAATTGGTATGGCTAAGAGTGCCATGACTCAGCTCGGAAAAATCTGGAGAGATCGCAACATATCCGTAAAGACCAAAACCAAACTGGTACGGACTCTAGTTTTCTCGATTTTTTCGTATGGCGCTGAGACCTGGTCACTGAAATCTGCAGACCGCAGACGCATTGACGCCTTTGAGATGTGGTGCTGGAGAAAGATGCTGCGTATTCCGTGGACAGCATTTCGGACCAATATATCAATCTTGCAAGAACTCAAAATCTCCTCGCGGCTGTCATCCGAGTGTCTTCGTAGAGTCCTTGAATACTTTGGTCACATCGCACGGAAGGATGGTAGTAATCTCGAGAGGCTCATCGTGACTGGTAAGGTAGATGGGAAAAGACCTCGGGGGCGCAGCCCAATACGTTGGTCCGACCAGATCCGCACCGCTCTTGATTCCACATTTCACAACGCCCTCCACACCGCCAGAGACAAGAATGGATGGAGAAAAATCGTGCGTGCGAAGGTGATACAAAAGGGTGGTCACGACCCTCAGCAATGAGGAATACGACGCAAGGAGGAGGAATATAAATATATATACCAAACAACCTAATCTCTTAATATAAATTTTAATAATAGATTAGGTTGTTTGGTACGACACTTTTGCCTTTCTGCTGGAAAAATAAAACTACTACTACTGCTGTCAAAGATGACATTTACAAGATTTCGTTGTTATTGAGAGTGTGTACATAATGTTTTCATTATAAATTGGCCCATACAATTTAATTTAAAATCAAAAAATTATTCGAAACAACAGAGTTGCAATTCATACAATTATTTTGACGTAACGCAACCTATTTAAAACAACTGCAACGCTGGAATTTAATGAAAATCATCGGTATGTAACATAAAGCAAGAAATTAATAAATTATGCTAATTATTAACGTTACGATACGCGTACTCGCTTCTTGTTTATCTTAATCGATAGTTGTTGTATCCGCCCACGCTCGTAAATATGTTTAACGATATAAATATTGCATTTTTGTCCATAAATATTCCTGACCACTTAGTCTCAGCTGTGTACACAAAATACTTTATTATGGTGTTTTGTTTGATGAGCAATATTAGCCCTTAAAGCATATAATGTTTGAATACTGTAGTTGGTGTGACTTGGTATTATGTAGGGACTGGGTGATAAACTATAAATAAATACTGGTGATAAATATTACAATGTATAAAATGAATACTTGTAACAATTTAACACTATAGGCACTGTAGTGGCTGGTCCTAGTGATATCGGTGTTTATAGGCAACAGTAACTGCTTACCTTGAAAAGTAGATTTCATACCGAATAGTCATAGCACTTGAAATTAATACATTGGACAAAAAGTATCACATATTTTACAATGATACTTGATAGTTCTATATTCTTTCTTTCTTTGAAGTTTAAATTCCATTTTGCCAATTACTGGGATTATTATAATAGGTTAACACAGGGGTTTCCGTAGATATATTTTATGTTGAATTCAAATACACATCAAAATAAATAGCCCGTTTTCAATTTATTAAGCCAACTCTACTTCTGAAGACCATTCTTGATTTAGTAATATTTTTAAACAGAAAATTGTTGCTAACAATACTGTATTTGTTCTAGTATAAAATGGATATGAATAATAATACTGACTATCTAAGGAACCTTGCTCCTAAATGGAGCCTGGCAGGAGATGAGAAACTGCTAGAACTCCTTCAAAGCACACATCAGGTATTGAATACATTACACAAATATACATGTTAATTCACACAATAATTCTCATCACAACATCTGGAAAAAAATTAACATCAATACTGTATTCTACTTGCATTTTTGTGCATATTCAAACACCTTAATTTCCACAGAACATTGTATCAAAGAGTCAAAACGTTAACCAGATGCTAAGTGAGATGTCAGCTGGTCTGAATGATGCAAACATTAGCTTGCAAAATGTAAATAACAGGTGAGAAAAATTAAACAATACCCACACTTATACTGGTAGTAAGACTTCTCGTAAGTCCGCACGTGTAGTTACCACCACTCTGCCTATTCCTGTCGTGAAGCAGTAATGCATTTTGGTTTGAAGGGTGGGGCAGCTGTTGTATTGTAAAAACTGAGACCTCCTAAGGTCTAACTTATGTCTCAAGGTGGGTGGTGGAGTTTACGTTGTAGATGGCTATGGGCTCCGGTAACCACTTAACACCACGTGAACTCGTCCACCCATCCAAGCTATAAAAATAAAACATTAATATTCTGTACTCTATTGCATATTCTGCAGTAAGTTCATCTTATTTTCGGCATTAAAAAGTGCGACACAATTTTCTGTATGGCTTAGTTGAATGAAAGAGCTTGTGGCCCATCTTTTGTTAATTGCTTTTTGAAGCCGGAGCATAGAGATAACAACAGATCACATGATTGAAGTTCCTGTGTCTAAATAATAATAAAATTACACATAGTTCTCAGTTTTAGCTGCAGCTGCTATATTGTAGGATCAATTTAAGGGGCAGGACGTTATTGAGATTGAGACATCGACCTCACGTCTCAAGCTGAGCGGCGACTGTCGCGTTGTCATATTTCAGCCTCATTCTCGCTAATAGAAGAATGTTTTTTCTAGATTCATGAGTTTAAGTAACAGTCAATTTATAGAGAGCAGGGTGTATGAGGACGAGTCGGACACGGCGCCAGAAGCGGCTGAGATAAAGGTAAACAATCCACGGATCAGACTTAGTAGACTTCTTGTTTGACATACACTAAACCGCTAACAGTAACTGTATAGAATCGATTTTTGCCTAAAGTAGAAAGTCTTTAAGCTTCTGACCTGATAATTATTTGAATTCGACTACAAGTGTCAATGATATCGCCCTTTAACACACACGACTCCCCGCTCATAAAAAGTTCTGTTTATATTTGTCTATTTCAGGATCCGCCCAAACCCTCTGTAATACCTCCAGACATAGCCAAATTGAAACATAGCTTATCGATATTGGAGCGACTTCACGACCCCGTCACGATACTGTCAGACAGTGACACTGACAGCGACAGCGATGATGAAAGAATACCCACGTGAGTAGGATGCACTCAGTTTTACAGTACAATTTTCAGGATTTCAGTTACAAAAAAATGTCATTTAAAAGTCCTGAAATAATGTTTTTTTTTATTGCCCTAGTAGGCAGACGAGCGTACGGCCCACCTGATGTGAGTAGTTACCGTCGCCCATGGACTTCAGCAATGCCAGAGGCAGAGCCAAGCCGCTGCCTACCGTTAAGTGCTATCTATGGTTTTAGCGAGTTGTAGATATTAGTTAAGTTTACTTTTACGGTTTAATCTCCGGTAATATATATGAAGGTAACCACACTGATCGGGAATGTAAACCTGGTTCTAGCTGTGGCAGTCATTAATAGTTCACTATAAACCCGAAGTGACGTTGACAGACAACCGGCTGTCAATTACGTCAATTATGCTTTCAAACGTCGGCTCACATCGGGTAGCGTGCTTCGGCAGAGTCGAGATGTCGTTGCTTATTTATTTTTTTAGTCTTCTTACAAATTAACTGTATAACCAAAACATTTGTAAAGTATTAATAATATTAGCTTAAGTAATTTTTAGCAACAGCTATAAATCGCTGCAAACCATAATGGAATATATCCGTATCCGGAGCATAGGCCAGCGAGCCATTGAGCAACGAGACAGCACGATGTGTCGGAGAGTTAGTGGTGTGGCTAATTCCACACTATGGAGGATAGAGGCAACGAGACCCGTCTCATATGGGAGAAGCTTGAAAAAGTGTCCCACTTTCAGCACTAAGTAACAGTTCGAAAATCCTCCAGAATGGCGCTAGCATAGCCACAGGGTATGATATGAATTGAGCAGTTGTTAACTGATTGAAGTATGCTGTATGCGGAAGTATTGCGATAGGCAGCGGCTTGGCTCTGCCCCTGGCATTGCTGAAGTCGATGGGCGACGGTAACCACTCACCATCAGGTGGGCCGTATTCTCATCTGCCTACAAGGGCAATAAAAAAAAAGTTAGGAAATTTAATATATTTAATGACTGGAGTAGTTAGTGACGGTGTAATATACAACACATCACAAATGTTTACGTAATCCAAACTAATTTCGTCAATATAACCTAAAATTATTGCAGTGGGTAAAACGTGGAGACATCGATTGCATTTTCTTATCAGCTTTAAATAAAACATTTTTTGTAATTTTGTAGTGCTTACAGTTCTTTCGTCCTTTTTCATTTCTCTATCTTATTCTAATAACTTTCAGCTCCTTTTTTATATTTATCCGGTTGCTACTGTAGCGCCAACCTTATTTAGCTGATTTTAACGGACACTTTTCATACACAGAGACGGTTCTCCTTACCTCTACCCTCCATACTCCACACATACATCCACGCGTGTAGCCATCAGACACATATGGCGACACTGAATCCAGTGCAGTGGAGCTATCAATGATGTGTGCACGTGTGTGTAATTCCAGGGTCGTGTTGAAACCTAAGGACGTGTACTCCTGCCGGCCGCTGCCGCACGTCATCGGCTCGCAGCCGTGGCAGGACAAGTGGCACGCAGGTCAGTGGGGGGCGGGGGGGCGGGGGGCGGGGGGCACGCGGGTGACAACGTAAGCGCTTCCTACAAGCTATAGAAGTGAGCCGCGGGGCCCGTTAGCCGAAACGAACGGCGTGGTTTTCAAATCCAATAAACACTTGTAGTTTTTATCAAGCTTATAAAATATATCGTAAAAATTAGACTTTAAAAGTCGGTAATTTTTATAAATTTTAGAACGAAAATCTCAAGTCTATAAAAATTATTGATTCTCTGATTTTGGCTCGGCCCGAATGGTACAGTACGCCCACCGGCGCAAATAGTTCAACGTGATAAATCAGAATGTGTTCATTTTCCAATGGAAACTTTAACTGTGAATGTGACAGGACCGGGCGGGGAGAGGGGTCGCGGCGCCGCACTAATGACGTCACTACCTGTCTACTTTGAATTTGAACACGAAAAGTATTTTAGTTTTAGGGCACAAATATAGAAAATGTCTTCATTTTGGTTTGATGTGAACAGAGATATTGATTGCGCTCATCTGTGGCACTGAGCGTCGACGTGTTAACGTGAACGACGTTTGCAGGGCTGATAGTCGAGGACAGTGACAGTGACAGCGACAGCTCCGCGAGGGAGGGCGCGCGCTCTCCGGAGTACTCCGCGTCGGACTCCGGCGGCGCGGACCAACTCCCGGACCGACCCTGCGACGAGGTTAGTACCGACGCTCGACTGCGAGCCGGGATGAAAATAGTAATGTCGATGGGCTACGGTGATCAGCGGCGGAGACTCAACAGAGAGCTGTGTTGTAGGTCCCGGAGCTGCCCGCGGCGCCGGACCCCCCGCCCGCCGAGGTCGCGGCCGGGCTGGCCAGGAGGCTCGCGGGGACCGCGCCCCACGGACCCCAGGTAACGTTTTCGTGTGCGCAGGGAACAGTTAGCAAGAGATATAGAAGTGAAGACCATCCTGCGGTCCGCCTGACCAGAAATGACCGTCGGAGACACCAGCAAGCTTACAGGATAGATACCTTGTGGAGCACGTGACCGCGCCACAACACTCACAGTGCTTGTAGGTACCCCAAGCACTCCTACTTCTCCACTACCACTGGATCTCCTCAGTGGGTCGCGTTTCCGTCACCTACCCATCCGGGTCTTGCTAATAGTCTCTTTGGCTACTAGCGTATGGGTAGAAAAAAAAAGAGTTCTTTACATTTATTTACACACAGATACCGGAACCGGAACCGGACTACGTTCCGCCGCCGGGACCGATCGTGAAAACCGTGTACAAACCGGAAGTGCCTCAAGTCGGTGAGTCTGCTTTTTATTTAGTGTCGCCTCCACTCTACTCTACATCGATTATAATACATCTAATGAATTATTGGCTTAAAAGACTGAACTATAATTAAATATATAATTAATATGTTTAAAAAGTTTGTTTACATTCATTACCGAACTTTAAAAACCAAATTGTGAATGTGTGGTTGTGAAATTCATTTCGTTTTGTGAATGACGCGAACAATCTACAATCACAAGCAAACATGAACCATCAGTAATTACAAACAACAACAACAAATCATACACATCCGCAGCCTCACACCACAATTTCTTAACCATCACAATCGAACAATAAGCTGCTAACAATACAGTAACCGTACATCATAGATCCCAATCATCCCATTATCGTTCAAAACCACCTTAGACCTGTACTCGCAATAAACGAATGGGACCGATCGACCCAGGTGCGACGTTCCGCGACTCGCCCCCCCCGCTGGACTCCCCGCCCCGCCTGGACTCGCCCCCCCCGCCGGACTCGGACTCCAGCCACGAGGACATCTTCGCGGAACTACACAGGGGTGGGCCCGGCGGCCGCAGACCCCGCGCCGCCGCCGACGACCTGTTCGACTTCACGGACCCCGGCGCGGGACCGGTACGTCGGCGGACCCCCCGCGGGCCCTCCCATATAACACTTGCCATTTGTGTGCGAGGGACATGTGTCTTTAAACATAATAAATAGTGCGCGTGCGGCTTGGTTTTTTTCTTATTGCTTAGATAGGTGGACAAGCTCACAAACCGCCTGGTCTTAAGCGGTTACTGGAGCCCATAGACATCTACCACGTAAATGCGCCACCCACCTTGAGATATAAGTTCTAAGGTCTCAAGTATAGTTACTACGGCTACCCCACCCTTCAATCCGAAACGCATTACTGCTTCACGGCAGAAATAGGCAGAGTGGTGGTACCTACCCGCGCGGACTCACAAGAGTCCTACCGCCAGTAAACGTGAACCAGAATGCACCAGTTAGTGCACGTGAAAGAAGTGAAATTTCTTTTGCGGTGTGTAGCATTGTGGTTTTTCTCATTTTTCATTCTTTAAATCATATTTCTCTTGTGATAGGAAATGCTGTGTGTCTGTTTTCTCACTTTTGCTCGTCCTAAATTGCATCTTTCCTCTCTAGCCGTAACGAATCTGTCGCGAGTTGAATTTTACTTTCAAGAAATTCCACTTCAATAAATATAATTAGAATCGGTGGGAAGACGTCTTGTGAGCCCGCACGGGTACGTACCGCCACCCTGCCCGTGTCTGCCGCGGAGCAGTATCACCCGGACACGAGACTAAAAACTAATAATAAACAATCAAAAACAAGCGCTCGTCACTATTTGTATTTAAGTTAAATGACTCCCGCAGACAGCAGCGACCGCGTCCCACTGATGTCATTTTGTATGCGCAGGTACCGTCGCACTCCGGACCTGGTGCACGTCGCGTGGGGACCCCGGATACGACGCCCGTGTCCCCGGGGGAGCGGAGCGCACGGCCCGAGGGTGGAGCGCCCGCCGCCGCCGGGACCAGGGTGAGTTGGTCCGCCGTCGACGGTGACCACACACGGACGGGCGGGACACTAACAAAAGCATTTATGGAATCAAACCGGAACGTTGTTTATATTTTGGCGGGTTAGACTACACCGAAATTGCCCTCGCCAGTGACAATGTCAATACACAACTGACACCCATTGCGTCGCGTGCGTAAGACCGTCCCGAACAGAGCTCTGTTTAAAATGATATTAATTTTCAGAAGCCGATCGGCGGCGTGCCCGTGTTCGGTGTGGACGTAGGAGCCGCCGCCCCGGGGCGCGACCCGCGCGGGGCGCCGCCCCCCGGGGCCGGGCCCGGGGACCGACCAGGAAATGAGAACGTCGATCAAACGGATGCCAGCAGAACACAAACAGAGATATTCGACGACTTGTTTAGTAAAAAGAAAGACAAAGTTAAACAAGAAAAAGTTGTCCCCAAAGTTGACCTGTTCGCTGACAGTCTGTTCGAGGACACGGACGACATATTCACTAGCGGCGTCCACACGGAACACAAGGAGAAGTCTATCTTTGAAGACGACGACGAGTTGTTTGCAGAAGTCGCCGCGCCCGCCCCCCGGGGGGCAGCGCCGGGATCGAGGGGGGGCGGGGGCGCGGCGGCGGGGGGTGGGGGCGCGGTGGCGGGGGGCGGCTTGTTCGACAGCGACGACGAACTGTTCGGCGACGGAGCGACCGACCCCGCCACTAGCGGCGCCGCGGGGGCGGGGGCCGGGGCGGGGCGCGCGGGGGCGTCCACTAACACACTAAAGGGGACAACTAAGAGCATCTTCGACTCGGACAGCGACAGCGACATATTCGCCAGCGTGCACGCGGCGGCCCCCGCACCGCACGCGCCCGCCATGCGCCCGGCAGACAGCGCCCTCATTGTAAATAACGGAACAAACAGCTACCGGAGTCCCTCGCTGTTCGACGATGACGATTGTGACGACACCGCTCAGACATTACACACGAATGACGTCACATCTGCGCCAAATACACTAGATAAACCAGACGCGGCTCTGTGTACTTCTAGTTCAGAAGTCGAAACAACTGCGAAGCCTAACGCTGCACCAGAAACCGTGGCGGCGGAGTCTAGCATCATGACCAACGGTGCACATAGTACATTAGGAACCTCCAATATTGTTAGTCAAAACAATTCAAAATCCAAAGAAGTTAAACATTTTAATGCCGACACTACGACGGTGCTCGACCCGCGCCCCCCCGCGGACGCGCAGTCCCCGGGGGGCGGCCTCACTAGACGCGTCGCAAATGGAACTCTATGCGCAACCACGGAGAGGTCAGATCACGACGACGGATTAACGTTACCTGGTGCGCCCCCCCGTGCAGACAGCACAGTGGACGATAACATTCCCAATGAACCTCCGGCGGCTGTCGGCGGCGCTGCTGGCGAGGCGGCCGTGGCGGCTGCACTCAATGGCGCTTTCGCTAACATTCTGACGGAACCGCCGGCTTTTGAAAAGAAAGAGTTTAAAAATTCGAATGTCAACGCGCTTTTTGAAGACGATTCCGAAGATGAAGGGTTCTTCAGAAGAAGCGACGTCCCGGACGAGGCGCCGCGGGACCTCGCGCCCGGGGACCTGTTCTTGTTTATGGACGAGCCGCCGGAACTGGACGCCGGGGCGCGCGGGGGGGCGGCACCCCCGACCGGCGCGGGGGGGCGCGGCGCGGCGAGCGGTACCGACGCGAACCTGACGCCTACTGAAGTGAACGAGGAGTACGAAAGTGAACGAACATCTGGCGGAGCAGTAAATATTGATGAAATCGATGAGTTGTTCAAGGCGTCACATTCTAGAAGTAACCTTAGCACTTCTAATTATCTAGATATAGATATAGACGCCGACATATTTGGTCCTAAAGTAGGGACAAGTGCCGGCAGCATCGCAAGTAAAAACACAACTTCTAAAATTCTTGATCCGGATATAATTAAGGAAGACCCTGATATATCACAAAAACCATCAACATTACAGTCTGCAGATGTGACCACGGACGACGCCAGGGAACAAGGTCCGTTCGCTACTAGTGGACGCGCAGACACCGAATCTAAAGATGTCAATGAAAAAGATAACAAGAAGTCAGTCAACAAGGTGCGATCCATGAACCTCCCGATAGACGTGGCGGCGCTGCTGCCCGGCGCCTCGCCCAAGAAGACAATTGAGGTCAAACCTCACGGACCCTCGGAGGGCGCCCGCCGGTCCCCCGCGGGCGACGACCCGGAACTTGTCAAATCGGTTTCTTTCGGCGGCGAACCCAATGCTGAAGTCCTTGACAGCACCTTGTCCAAGCAGCGCGCCAGGATACAAGTGAAGAGGCGCCCTTCGTCCCGCAGGGCCAGGAGGGAGGCCGTCAGGACATCGACTATAGACATCAACAATTCTGAATGTAGCCCCGACCCGGCTCCCTCCGCCGCCCCACACCGCGCCCCCCGACCCCAGGATGCAGCAGTAGAAGCGGACCAGCCTGATGTAACACACGATTATAAGTCAGATTTGGTGAAAGATCAGAAAATAACTAAAGTAGTTTACGTTTTGAACGATGAAGACATTTTTGAGACGGAGAATAAGAGAAGCAACGAGTCCGACGACGACTTGTTCAGAGGCAGCGCGCGGGCGGCGGGGAGCGGGGGGGCGAGCCGTCCCCCCAACACCCCGCCCGCACCCCCCGCGCCCCCCGGCGAGACCAGAGCGGCGTGGTTCGACAGCGACGAGGAGTTGTTCGGCGACACCGCCACGGACCGCGGGTTCGGCAAAACTAAACCACACAGAGTGGACGTGATGACGTCATTGTTCGACGGAGAGGACGACGATGAGCTGTTCGGCGGCGCGCCCCGCGACCCCGCACCCCGCAGCGAGCACTCCGGCGGTGAGTGCAGTCCACGGACTCATCAGCAAGACCGACATACTCTTTTCAAGCTTACTGAGTTTCTCGCCCGAATCTTCTCAGTAGATCATTTTTCCGATCCAATGGTAGATTCTGCGAAGCACTGCTCTTGCTAGGGCTAGTGTTAGCAAATTCTCTCAGGTTGGGACGTTGAACTAATTAACCCGTCCAGGCGTAGCTGAAATAGCTCCTTAAGCTACCAACGAATAGGTAGGGAGGGAAAAACTCTTATCTCACATTCAGGTTTTTTCACATTTCAATGACAGAAAAGTCCGTCCAATTTACTGGTATAAATCATTACTGGTGGTAGGACCTCTTGTGAGTCCGCGCGGGTCGGTACCACTACCCCGCCTATTTCTGCCGTGAAGCAGTAATGCGTTTCGGTTTGAAGGGTGGGGCAGCCGTTGTAACTATACTTGAGACCTTAGAACTTATATCTCAAGGCTCCAGTAACCACTTCACACCAAGTAGTCTGTGAGCTCATCCATCCATCTAAGCAATAAAAAAAAAAAAAAATTTGCACGCCGGCTACCGGCTAGTCTGGGAACGCTCTGTGACCTGTCGCTATTCACAACACAGTAAAGATTTAATTAATTAAATTAATTTAATGCTGGAGCTAGGATACGTCAGTGCTAAACTAATTCAAAATCGAATTTAAGTTTTGCAAATAATTTCATTTTCATTAATATTTCTTTACAGAATATAAACCAGTAATAATTAAATCGTCTAAGGAGACCTCGCGGAGCACGCAGCCGGCGTACGAGGACCCCCTGTCCCTGTTGGGGGACGACGACTGAGGGAACCAGACCCCCCCACCCGGTACTATAAGGACGTCGAACTATAAGGTGACCGTCTCCATACAAGGGACGGTCACCGTCGGTGCCCGCGGGACGAGACGGCGCGTCCACCGTCGCTACACCGTCGCCTTAATTATATACGAGTTTATTGTTGAAATTATTATTATGTAGTCTATAACTGTACTTGTTAAAAAAAACAATATTTTCCGAGATTATTTTATAGGTAGATATTAATTTCATTTTAACGAATTTATATTTATGAAAACAAATTAAATACTGTTGAACTGTGATGTAATGCGTTTAATTGTAATGTAACACGTGAACTAATGTGAACTACCCAGTGTAAATATTTCAGTTTGTGTTTGGCGAAGCAGCGATGTAACGCAGACCCGTCCCAGTTCATTGACCCACATTACTCAATTGCGGATCAATGTGCGTTACATTGCGTGTAGTGCATAAAAATTATACTTCAACTAGCGGACCCGACATACGTTCTGCACACACAAAATGAATGAAATGATTGCATACATAAAAATTCATTCAAGTCTATCCAGCCCTTTAGTGCAGTATAGATAAATAGATACCGACTGCAGTGCCATCTGCCGGGCTGATTTGTGAATCTAAACCATCCAGGGCCCCACCCAAACGCATACAAAAAAATCATTCAAATCAGTCCAGCCATTCAGTGACACACACGTACAGAAAAATTATATTTATCATTTCGTTGCTCATTTTCTCCTATAATATTGCATTTTAAAATAAACATACCAAAAACGAAATAATACAACTCGGATCTTTTATAGAACAATGTTTATTTCTGGCTAATCAACATTTCGTTACTCGACGAACTCTTCCACGGCACAATAATCTTACAAGAATATTTACTAGACAAATAGGCCCGGGACAACATTAGTTAGAATACAGTTTTGGGGTTCAACGGGTGCTTCCCGGTCAGAACTGAACTGTACAGCTAGTGGTGTCTGTGTCGCAAAGGAGCAGTGTTTGTATGCCTTGTATGACTATTCTCGTGCACAGAAACATTGGACTACTCATTTTAAATTGATTTGAATTATTTATGATTTTTTTAATACACTTTTAGAGTTAAATCCATAAAAGTGATGTCAACAATCCAAGAAGCACTTAAAAGAAAATAACAATTCATTTTTGTATCGTTGCTTAATCAGTCTGAAACTGTTATTTGAGTCTGAGTTTCTTCTTGAAGAATGGGTTGATGGGTGACGGTGTGGAAGGTTTGAGATTAGTCCTGGCCGGTGTCTTGGAGCTGTCGAACGGTATGCTGGGGCTCTGTCGGACACTCTTATAGTAGTCCACGGGCTTCTGCATACAATTATTTTTCAAAACGAACTTAACCTTCTTGGGGCTGTGAATCGAATCATTCGTTTTATTAAATTTCTTTACTTTATTCACTAGCACTGTGGGCTTCGCTTCTACATTGTGATTTTTGCTGACCGGGGTCTGTGTCTTGACAGTTTTATTGTCAACAGTCAATAATTGTTTTATTTTATTCTTATTATTGTTATTTTTAACCTTGTCGAGTTTAATGAGTTTAAGGGGCTTTTGTTTGTCCGTTTGTTTGTGTGGTGTCGCGTTTATATTGTTCTGAACTGAAGTCAATATTTTAGTTTTAGCTTTTTGTTTGAGTTTAAGTTTCTTTGTTTTCTCAATGTCATTATTTTGTTTTCTATCGGGGGGGGAGGGGCGGGAGGGCGCGGCCGCCTCCCCTCCGCCGCGCTCGGCTGCCCGCTGCTCGTCGCTCGGGCTCGGTCCGGGTTTGGTTGCGTTCAATTTCATCTTTTTGGCAGCTTTTTGTGTTGAATCTGCTTTCCTCTTTTTATTCTGGAAATTATTTATTTATTAACTGTAAAGCATCTGTGATCAAAGTCATTTAGTGGAACAACATCTGAACTTAATGTTGTTATCTAAAACCTATGTCTCCTTTTAGTATCGACAGTATCGACGAGCTCGCAGCCCACCTGATGATGTGAGCACGGTTCTTCGACGTGCATCCCGTGTCTCAAGGCAGACGGTACCGGACGGTAGCTGGTCCCCAGCGGACCCTGCGCGAGGAGGACTGTGAGCTCATTTCACAAAACTTAAAAATCGACATGTTTTAAAAACTCACATTGTGTTTGTCAGTGTTATTGTCTCCTTTGAGGTTCTGCACGTCGTCTACGATACTAATGCCGGCGCGCGACTTCGCCAGGAGACGTTTCCGATGTTTACGACTCAAACCTGAATAAATAAACAAATATGTATATGTGAATATAAATAATTTTTTGTCGTAAACTGTTGATCTGGTGGTAAGACCTCTTGTGAATCTGCGCGGGTGGGTACCACCATCCTGCTTATTTCTGCCGTGAAGCAGTAATGGGTTTCGGTTTGAAGGGTGGGGCAGCCGTTATACTGTTAAAAGTGAAACCTTACAACTCACGTCTCAAGATGGGTGGTGGCATTTACGTTGTAGATGTCTATGAGCTCCGGTAAACACTTAACAATAGGTGGGCCGTGAGCAAGTTCACCCATCTAAGCAATAAAAAAAATCTGGTGTGTAGGGCTCCTCGGGGAGGGTACCTCGGAGGGCCAGATCATCGGAGGCCGCGACGCTCATCCTCTCGACCTTCTGCAGCTTGGCGACGGCGCGCGCGGTGGGGAGGCGCGGAGACAGCTTGGGGACGTCCGTGTCGCGGGCGGACATCTTAAGCGGGTACTGGCCCCGCGCGTACTTTTCAAACCTTTATTTTAATTCATAACAGTTACAGATACTTAACGTTATTTTTTTGTTTAAGAGATTTTATGACCTGGTAACTAAGACTTTTAAGTCATGTCTTATTTTAATTTATATTCTTATTTTTATGAAAAATTATATTATGGAGTGAAATGAAATGAAGATGATTAATTTGAGACATTAATCAACTAGGATGAAATTTAATGAGATAAGATGAGATGATATGGGATGAAATATAATCTCAGTAAAATGGTGGTCTGTTATTGAGATTTTTTTAGTGGACTTTTTGGAGGGTTCCCAGAAGTTACGTCCGGCGGCTTTGTTTCATTTTCTCACATTTGTGCACTTTCACAGATATTCAACAGTTAATAAACCACCCTTATTACACATTTAAACCTGAAGAAACACCAAATAGAATAAATAAAACAAATCACACAACTGCACTCTCCGCGTTCCCGCCAAAAAGTCGAACGTTTTTAATTGTCGTATGTGCGGTGAGGTATAGAGGGGTCGTGTACTTGCGCATGCACACGCGCACGCGGCCCTGCGCCGCCACGCGCGTGCGGGCCAGCAGCGCGCGCAGCAGCCCCGCCAGCGCCGCGCCCGGCACCGCCAGCGTGCGCAGCCACACCGACACGCCGCCCGCGCGCGGGTCCAGCGCGCCCCTGCAACACCCCTGCACTGTACACACATGCTGCACCGGTGTTCGAGTCCCGCAGCCGGGTACCACCAATTTTTCTAATGAAATACGTACTCCACAAATGTTCATGATTGACTTCCACGGTGAAGGAATAACATCGTGTAATAAAAATCAAACCCGCGAAATTATAATTTGCGTAATTACTGGTGGTAGGTCCTCTTGTGAGTCCGCACGGATAGGTACCACCGCCCCTGCCTATTTCTGCCGTGAAGCAGTAATGCGTTTCGGTCTGAAGGGTAGGGCAGCCATTGTAACTGTACCGATAGAAGACCTTAGAACTTATGTTTCAAGGTGGGAGGCGCATTTACGTTGTAAATGTCTATGGGCTCCAGTAACCACTTAACACCAGGTGGGCTGTGAGCTCGTCCATCCATCTAAGTAATAAAAAAAAGAAAAAAGTCCATTTATTTATTGGAAAAGTGTGACTCACGTATCTTCATCATCATCGCTGTCTTCATTGTTCATAGACTCATCTTCAACCACCAATTCCAAGGCGTCAGGACCTCCTTTAGGGCAACCCATCTATAGAGCAATTATCATTATCAGAAAATTTGTCCGAAGTTATTCATAACAAACTTCATATTAATTTGATGGAATATTCAACAAAATTATAAAAGCTTACTAGTATAATTTTAAAGTGCAAGGCAGATGCTATACGGCGCAATTAAGAGTTCGTCTCAAGTGTGACTTATGTCTCGAGGCTTGTTTAACATTTTGTTGATACGTTTGAGTAACTTCTCATAAGTAAAGTACTTTGTAAAATTAAAATGAATTAACATAAGTACTTTGTAAAATTAAAATGAATTAAATAAATGTGTATTGTAGATATAAGATTTTGCTAAATTCTCAAATGAGCAGTATACCTGTTTCCATGCTCTAGTTGCTTCAGCGTACATGATGCCTTCCTTGCTCTGCCGCAGCAGCGCCATCAGGAGTCTCTGAGAAGCCTCGGTCAGCGCGGGGACTTCACCTTGCGCCGTGTACTCACAGAACGGACGAAGCAGTTCCACCATACTGTCTTCTGGTACCTTCCCTTTCGATACCTGAAACGGACATTTCTCAACTAATCATTTACAACTAGGTAGACACAAAACCTCCATATAATTTGATAAAACCAATCACCTGTGAACTATATTTATGCATAAATAGATAAACAAGCCACACACTGTCTATAGAGAACACAAAGTGTAGACACATATACTAGATACTGTTTCATTTGATGGTCACCATTGGGAAACAAACTAGCTACACTGTCTCAATAAAGTAGTTGTTCTGTTTCAAAATATGCTTGGATGATACTCAGCTTACCTTGGCCAATTCTTCTAGGAAACAATCAATGAAATGTAATATCAAAGAAATCGCATTCCTGGCATAATGCGGAGTCTTCATTGACAACAAACCTGAAATAAATAAACAGTTCACAGACTTAAATGAGTATCTAAACTCTTTGTAGCAACTATTTCCATACCATCCTTATAACTATCTCGGCTCACTACCTGTTCATTCTTTAATATTTTTAATAGTTTTTTAGCTCAGTAGAGACTGGCTACCTATTGAAAACCTTAAAATATTGAAAATTGTACCGCTGAATTAACGAGAACCATTATAACCAATGCCAAAACTAATAATGCTTCAAAACATATTGCCATATTTGGCAGAAATAGATTAAGAGTCAGGACACAATCTTACTGTTTATAATATTTATGTCTGCATGCTTACCGTCAGCATCAGTAAGCATCTCAGCATACTTCTTACAGCTGTCCACACTCCACTCACAACGTTGCAGACACCGGATACTCCCACGTAAATATCTACGGGCAAGCTGTGTAAAAAAATGTGTATAAAGACAACATAATAATATGTATATATGGACAACAATTGCCATGATGGTGCCTTCCTTGAGAATGGTGCGTTTGACGGTTGTGTGTGTGTGTGAAGATATGTTACCATAGAAATTTGTTTTCACCGAATGCTCATGTTAAAATTTTCAAAGAGCATTACCAGGTTTCCCTAATTATTAAAAAACATTTTTATCATTGGGATTGGATTAGCTCCTGAAGGCTGCATTACACAAACAGTTATCTTGACCAGCACAACCCTGCAACTTTGTGGTACAACAAGTAATTTCTAATTTTATGCTTTTCTCCTTTATTATCTCATCATGGCTTTGTTTCGACATGAAAAAGAAAGTCACATTTTTTAATCTAAAGATAATGAAACACGGTATCCTGTGGAAATGAGATTTAGTTTTTCAGGTTTAAAGGTAGCCTATGTCATTCTCCTCTCCTCTCCAAACAAAATATCATTCAGTAATTGGTATGTTAGTACACAAATAGGAACAAAATACACTAAATTTCTCTTGCTTCCCCTATTTTTTAAAACTCTCTAGTAACTCTGCCCTTTATGCCCATACCATAAGAAATTTATCAATTCTATGTTGATCGATTCCAAACCACTCCGTGGCCAACACCTTGAAGCCAGCCTTTGTCATAAGCATTGCATGATGAAGATGTTCTGGTGGAAAATGATCCAGGATGCCTGCTATATTCTCCGCTAGGTCTTCCTGAAATATAAACAGCATATAGTATTTACAGTTGCAGTATTTGGAATTAACCAGGAAACACACTTCAAAATAATATTCCTATTTTTTATGAGATATTATTAGTGGCTCTAAGGCCTTTCCAGTTTCAACAGGATATGTAGGCAAGGGCACTTGCTTAGCCAGGAGGAGTGGGATTTGCTAACAGCTGCTCAAGCACCTCCCAAAGCTGATAAGCGTAGTTGCTCTGAAAATTCATCTAGTACCAGACCAGAATGGCGACCTGCTGAGAAAATCAGGCAAGAAACTCAGCAAGTTGATGTATGGTTTATGTTTTGGTTTATGGTTATCAGGTTTCCTATGCATGTTGCTAATGTTAGAGGTGCAGGCATCATGGATTACAAGCTCTAGGGGTCAGAGACATGATAACCAATCATCACCATTATTTCATAATTCCCTTTTTACCTTTTTTTTGCACTTGTTTTTACTTTGTCTTTCAGTTTTTAGTCATCAAAACCAAAAAGAAACTAGCAAAACAGGGAAAGCATTTGGATAGATTTTGGATGACTAGTAAAGTTCGTGCCATTCTCCTGCCATCTTTGGATACCTTGGTTCTTTGCAAACAGATTGGAGTAGGCACCTAAACCATGACTCCGTGTAATGATGAAGATTCTCGATAAAAATATTTTGTATAGATAGGTACGGTACTTACTTGTACAAGTGGCTTATCCGACATCCACATCGCGTAAAATATACCCTTCCACACTCTCGTGAAATCATCTTCTTTGAATTCTGCCGAAATTAATGAATTTTATGAAAACTTGCCACCAAAACTAACCAATCAATTATATTGAGGTTATGTTTTTAATTTATAAACGCATTTTTTGAACAAGAATATTAATTTAAGTTGTAGAATGAGGTTAATTTCAGAAATCTAACCGTATCCCCTGTGAAAACAATTCTGGAGCCACTTTTTCAGTGTTTTAATCACACGTTCGCGTACTTTGTTTTCGTTTCCGGATAACAAACGCGCGAACTTTATCTCCTGGGCAACGACCGCAACTTGTTCCTTTTTAGTTTTAACTATTTTATCTTTGAGTTTTTGTTTTCTTTTTTTGTCTTTCTCGTTTAATTTCATTTTGATTTATTTTCAACAAAAATACATCCCACCATGTGTACGTTTTGATAGTAGTAGTTCTATTTTTCCAATTGGAAAGGCAATGGTATCACACCACACAGCCTATTTTTTTTAATTTGAAAAATTTAGAAGTGAAATAAAATGAAGTTGATTAATATATAACATGGCATGAAATGAAATGAGATGAGATGACATGGGATGAACTATATTCTCAGTAAAATGGTGGTCATTTACTGAGACTTTTTGGAGAATCTCGAGATGCGAGCGGACTTCCAGCGGATTTATTTCATTTTCCCAGATTTGTGGACTTTCACAGATACAAAACAGTTTATGTTCCACCTTCCCGACAAAATGTCCGAGTAATGCACACATTTTTCATAATTCTCTTGACATTCTACTGGTGGTAGGACCCCTTGTGAGTTCGCGCGGGTAGGTACCACCGCCCCTGCCTATTTCTGCCGTGAAGCAGTAATGCGTTTCGGTTTGAAGGGTGGGGCAGCCGTTGTAACTATACTTGAGACCTTAGAACTTATATCTCAAGGTGGGTGGCGCATTTACGTTGTGGATGTCTATGGGCTCCAGTAACCACTTAACACCAGGTGGGCTGTGAGCTCGTCCACCCATCAAAGCAATAAAAAAAATCTTTATAAAGTTTCTACGTCAAATCTTATGCTAATTCAAATCGTTCTAAAATAGATACCTCAACCTCTACGAACCAGGTCCAGGATCCCGCAGTAGGCCCAAGAAACGCTGGTTAGATGTGGTAAAGGTGGATAAGAAGGAGAATAAAGAATAACCTCACCCAGAAGGATGCCGAAGACCGGGCAAAGTGAAAGAGCTTAAGTAGGAAAGCGCATCCTGGCACTAGACCAGGAAAACACTAGGAAGAAGACTATACCCAGCAGTTTGCGTTTTATACCACATTGTTATCTTTTCTGAAAAAAAAAAATCAGTTTGGCTCATTTAGTACTTACAACTAATTTGTAGTTAAAGTAAATTACCAACGCTACTTCAAGACAGCTACGTGACACAATAACCCCGTTCGCCTGATCCGGCCACGCAGTAGTCAGTTGCTGTCTCCGCCATTCTGTGTCATTGGCAGCTGCTCACTTCGATAAAGCGGCACGACACGAGAACCCTCTCATCGTGGCCGCCGGTAACTACATTCCCGATCCTGCGGACAGAATGGAAAGCAGTCGACGTCGCCCAAAACACGTCATCTCGGATCCTCCCGATCCACTAACGGTGCTTTTAGGTACTTCAAGCACCGGTCACCGTTCTCGTCGAACCCGTCGCTTGCGACGAAGGGCTCGACGAGTAAATTAACTCTCAGACACAGCCCACTGAGTTTCTCGCCGGATCTTCTCAGTGGGTCGCGTTTCCGATCCGGTGGTAGATTCTGCGAAGCACGACTCTTGCTAGGGTTCGTGTTAGCAACATCGTCAGGTTTGAGCCCCGTGAGCTCACCTACTAAAGTTAGGGTTACGCTGAAATAGCCGCTAGGGCTATCAGCTTACGTAGAAAAAAAAAAAAAAAAAAAAAAGGCAGCTGCTCTAACACAAACAGCAACCATGACACTGGTCTCTGTACTCGTCAGAGGTTAGTGACATGGCCCGTTGCACCAGCCTGTAGTTTCTCGCCGTATCTTACTCAGCGGGTCACGATTCTGAAGTAGCCTCCTAGGCTGCTAGCGACCACGCTTCGAGCATTCCGTCAGTACCGGCGCCGCTCCAACGCACACCCAGGTGCGTTTCAATTTGAAAGGTGGGGCAGCCATTGTACTGTAAAGCTGAGATTAGAACTCTTGCTTCAAGTGGGTGGGGACATTTACGTTGTTGATGTCTGTGGGCTCCGGGAACTAACGAATACCAAGTGGGCCGTGAACTCGTCCACGCAGCTAAATGCAACAATAAGAAATAAAACTCTTTTATATAACAGTATTTATTGATTGTGTTCGCATCCCGAACAATATTATCTCTCGACTCGTTTGTATTACAACAATTATATGAAAATATGCGACTTCATTTCATCACAAGTCTTCATATTATTTTAAAATGTGTACGATTACGTTCAAACCAGCTGTGCAATCAAATTATTATGAAGGCTTCGTCGACCTTCGACTTTGAAAGGTTTTTCAATTATATCCATGACATTACGCATATATAAAATTTTATGCAAATATTACTTTCGAAAGAAATCTTTGACGGCCTACGGATCATTCGAAAGCCTTGCCCGTAATTTGATCGCATTAGGTGTTGGCGCTCGATGCCACAACATTGCGGGTCTTGAATTTCTGATCTGCCGCGTATATAAGTTACAACGAAGTTCCCGCGCAGAAGTAGCCTTTGATAAAAGCGCGAAAAATTTTTTAGCCAATCGTGACGCCCCGTGTGAGCGAGCGGCTCGCTACCATTTGCTATTGGTAGATTCGTGCGCGCCATGTCTGGCACCCGCAACAGCTGAGCTAGACATCAATATCTGTTTTTGTTGACATTCAAATCATAATGTAACGAAATTATGTTTATGTAGCGACTATATTAGGGCGTTAATCTTAAATCAGTTTTTACTTGTCCACTTGTGTGTCGATGCTACTTTAAAAATGTGGAAGACCTGTGCGCCAGTTGCTCGCCTACAGTCGTATCGAGCCGAAACATTATAGTTGATAATACAGTAGAAATGCAACAGGTAACCCTCTTAAACAAGAGCGTGCCCACGGTAATTTCAAACGAGAAAGATGCCGGTATTTTTATTTACTAAATCCTACTGTTGGTATTCTTCTCAAATTCGTTCGCCTGTAATTTTTAGACCTAGTATTCATGCTATTTGATGAATAGACAATTTAAATTCAACTACCAGTTCACATGGCCTGCTCTTAGTGCATCGAAGATACGCATATCAATATAAGTATTTCCAAAATTGTAGAGATCGCGTTTATTTCAATAACATTTAATTTAAGCTCAATGTCCTAGCGCTGAGCTGCACAAACGATGAATGTTAGTAGGGTAAGTCAAACGACCCCACATCCATCTCGACCGTCTGATGACGACTGGCCAAAGCATCCTACGACCGGACAGTAAGAATGATCACAAAAATAGATTCGAAATGTCCGAAATTGTAAACTAATAAAACAAATGTGATCAATGTCTACGGGAAAGAATATCACCTGGGCACGCCCCTGTCGCCTGACCTACGGAGGAGACAATGAATCTATTTGTCTAGCATAGTTCTAAATCAACGACTGACATGTCAGTGAAGCGTGACAACTACAATAGCACGGGTACATTATGGTTAGAGATAGAAAGGGAATTCATTTTTAACTTTTATTTGTACATAATTCATCTCCCGCCAAAAATGTATGCCATTTTTTTTTTTTAAATCACTAAAGCAACAGTTGCCTGCATGAAACAGCCTGTTAAGATTTATGACCATGACATAGCTTCTTCCTTTTCTATTTGTTTTTTATTTTTAATAACAAACTTATTCTGATTTATGATGTTTATCATTGCTCACTTTAATAACAAAATAAGGAACAACATTCAGCGGATGAATATTATTTTAACATTATTATTATTAGTCATTTAATTCCAGTTTTGTACCCAGCTCCGAGATCATGTTTGCTCTCGCTCTAAAGACAGATGATGCGTGTAGAAGAGAGACGGCGACATCTTAATGATGAATGCGAGACAAGGACGCGAATCGAACGTAATTTAGCAGAACGGACTAATTCGTAACATTTATTTAATACAAATTTTCATAACATTTAACAACAAATCTCAAAATTTTAATTCTTCTCATACAGTTAGCGCCATACGTTGGTATGCTCATTCAACTTCAGGTTGGTATCAGACGAAAGGCTCACCCCGTCCAGGCGCCGGAAGTCAGTTCTGCTAAACTATTGTATCCGCGTGTGTCCGGCGCGTCGCTCCGACCAAGCGCCTTTTTGAAACACTTACATAAGTATCTATTTTTGTACAAACGACTACTTTTTTAAAATATATATATATACCTGTGGAATGTTTACACATTATCGTTTTGTTCACATTCCCTTCTGACGGTAAGCGAATCTCGAACTAATTGCTTAAGAATACTCGAAGTGATGCTATTTGATTATAAGCGTTCGTGTATATAATATACAATTATCGTATGAATACAATGTGCTTCACGAGATTGTCTGGTAGAGATCGCTTTAAGCGATAAGGCCGCTTTTTTATTTCTATACAAAACTTAAAATATTCATTTTAAATAATTTCATTTTTCTCTCTTTAATAAACAAACAGTCAACAACTTTATTAACATTATGACGTCACAATGCTGTAAACAAAACTTTCACATTCAGAGTCATTTACAAACTACAAGCATATTGTTCACAAGTTCCGTCGACGAGCGCCGCGCAGACCCACGAACAACATCTCCCTTACACATTTATTTATTTATATATATATATATTTAGCACCTTTTCATGTACAATGCACTAGCGACATGTCGCCACACGGCGGCGTGCTGCGTGTGCGCGGGCCGGGGTCCGGCTCTGGTCCCGTCCCCGGGGTCACACGCGTGAGCCAGGCGTGCGACCCTCGCCCTGACCACCCGGGGGACCGGGGTGAGAGGCGACACGGACAGAGAGCGCGGCATTCCCTAAGCAATACGTTTCGACATCTCACCCCGGCGCTTGGCTGCCCGGGGCGCGCCGCCGGGGGCCGGGGGCCGGGGGCAGGGGGGACCGAGACGGAATGTGGTCTGTACAAATGTCGTTCGGATGTCCTCTACTCAATATAATCAATTTATTCCATATAATATTATATGTATATATATTTACATTAATTAATACATCGTATTGTACTATGTTTCATTATTTATGTAATTTGTTTATCACGTTTTATTGCCGAGGGCGGCAGACGGTGGCGGGGGCCGCGGGGGTTAGGTGCGGGACAGCGCCGCCGGGGGGGGCTTGGGTGGCAGGCGGGGGGCCAGCGCTCTGCAAGCAAACACGATAGTCCGTCAGTCATTGATGGAGTTTATTGTCGAGCGGTAGAAGTGTGCCGCGTGTACGCACGTGTTGTTGTGTCTCCGCTGCAGGATGGTGGACAGCGCGGGGCGCAGCAGGGCGGGCGCGGGGCAGGGGGCCGGGCGCGGGGGCAGGGGGGGCGGCTCCGTGCTGCTCCACGTCTGTGCACACGAACACGTCACTCTTACGGTCGGACAATACTGCAGGTTGTGGAGTCACCGCGAAACCACTCGGGGATATTTTTTTAGTTTTCTTTTGGGACCTCCACGTCTCTAGTATAAGTTGATTGAATTCTGTATAGAGGTACTCACGTGCGGCAGCGGCGTGTGCGGCGCGGTGGAGTCGCGGCGGCGGCGCGGGGGCAGGGGGGGCGGCGTCACGGCCGCTGCGAACACGACTCCGCATCAGTACACACGGACCTACCTAGCACGTGTCCATGGACAGCTCCCGTACAAATTCGTTTGATCAATAATTACTTCCAGACCGAGGCTCTAGAACGTTCTGTGCCAGTATACCATATTTCGAATAATGGTTATCGGTACCCGGTCGTTATTAATGGGCTTTATACGCATGTGTGTGTGTGTGTGTTGACTGGTTGGCAGGTCACACACGCGTGTACCGTCGCGGCGCCGGTTGGGGGATCACCACCGAATCTCATTGCGGGACGCTATCCACAGACCACTCTGACAGTTGTCAACGATAGTAACGTAGCTGATACTCACCGGGGTGCGGGGTGAGTGGGGGCGCGGGGGGCGACGGGGTGGGGGGTCCGCAGGGGAAGCTGAACACGCCCCTGCAACACACAACGGTCAGCTGCAGTCACACTATATATACGGTTTAGTTGGTGTTGCGTCCGTTCTGTTCGGTACAGACGGCAGTTAGCACAATGTTCAAGTGTCGAAGCAAAACACCCGACCAGGGGCCTGGAATGTGCTCAGACGCCGGTAGTACTGTAATGACAAACACGCGAAATTAAGCCGTAAAAGTAATTCCAATTCCTGTAAAGTTGGTACAAAGATATTTCCACGGACCGTCCCCCACACACGGGCGACACGGGGGTTCGACTGCCGTACGTGCCCCCACAAGTCGCGTGAAGTAGAGGTGTTCAGGGTGGTGGTTACCTGTCGGGCGGCGCGGGCGGGCTCATCGGCGGCTGCGGCGCTGGAGATCTCTTCGGCGACAAGGCTGGCATTCTGCATTTCAACATTTGTATAATAACTAGCTGATCTGGCAAACATTGTTTTGCCACATATTAGATTTTTAGAGAATTTCTAGTGTAAAAAAAAAGGTAACTTATTGTAAGGATGTGGTAAATGAGTGAAAGAGGCATGTAGCGCTGTGAACGATGAGGGAATATAAAAATATCAAAACCTCATTGAACCACATAATGCCTCGTTATAACAAAAAAATATATACATATATCCAAGAAATAAAAAAATAATGTTAGGGGTGGACAACCCTTATCACTTAAGTGTATGAAAAATAAATAGTAGCCAATTCTCAGACCATGCATATAAAATTTCATAAAAATCGGTCAAACCGTTTCAGAGGAGTATGGTAACTAACATTGTGACACGAGAATTTTATAAATAAGATATACATATTAACATACTAAACTCCTCGCTACATTAATTATATTCCGTGGCATGTCTAGTCGTGGGTAGATCTATGGTTCAACGTTTGTTCACCGAACTGTGACGTCATGGACCGAGCCACAAAGCCAGCTGGTGGCGCGTGAATAGATTTAACACAAGCACATATTTCGAAGCGAGACCGGGGGCTTCTCCAGCTTTGTACATGACACGGAGCTTTCGGAAGTTTATCTCTGAGACACTAGATTGATTATTTGCATTACACAAAACCAGCATAATTAAATCATATCGGTTACATAGACGACGTAAGGAATTGTGTGGCATTTACATCAATGAAATAAATACAATCTGACACAAACATGGCTCTACTGATTCGGGTGAAGTTTCGGACAAATACAGCTTACAGTTAAACCGCGACACGGTCCGGGCAACGCCGGGTATATACGGGTATAGGCAATTTCTCGTACAAACGTGAACAAATCAACTGGTCGTTTATGGACGGGAGAGTGAGAAGCAACTCAATATACTATATATTACCCCAGAGAAAAGCAACAAGTTTCATTTTGAATTACAAATGAAGCGCGGGTGAAACCGTGAGACACATCTAGTCGTTTAATCGTTACGAGATCTTTGGTGCAAGAGTGAATGTGGTGAGAGATGGCGGCGAGTGCTGGAGCCACTGGTACACTCAACATCTTCGATGCAAATTAAGAACAATCATTGAAAATTAGAACATAATCGGTACTCTACACTGGTGGTGTGGTGCTGTGACCTCACTCGAGCAGATGCAACCGTCCTGCCTGTTTCCGTCGCCTACCTTCGACCTTACGTCTCAAGGTGCGGGCGGCGAACACGTAGTGATGTCTGTGGGCCGCAAGCTCCTTCCGTACCAACCAATCAGTAAAGCGTTCGCAATAAAATAATGAGTAGGCACGTTACCTCTCCGCGTCGCTGTGGGTCTGCGAAAGGTCGAGAGTAACTCTGCCGACACATCCCATTCGTTCGCAACTGTATTGTGTTACTTTGATAAAAACCTTATCGAATTGTATACTAATAAACGCACGCCGATTTGCTCGCTTATTATTTGGCGTGAACAATGCCCCGCCGCTAACACGAGGCTGCTTCACTGTGCAAATAGGCAGGACGGTTGTGCACATCCGCGTGGATTCAATACAACCTACCACCAGTAAACGGTGCAGGATCCTTGATACATATACACGGGGCACTTCAGTGAAGAGGCCTCGAGCACGTCACTAGGATATGACAATAATATGACAGAGGCTTTTTAAGGAATTCTCGCGGTAACTACATTTCGGGTAAATCATCTAGTCGCCTACGAAGGCCTATTGGAAGGAACTAGGTAAGTAATTGCTGACACGGTCACGATATCTCGTCAATCAGAGTCTGGTTTGTCATGCCATTATCGCTACTTATCGTGACAATTACGAAAATAGATTCGACGTTTTCACAGACCAGCCGAGTGTCGGGTTACGTTGTAACTGCGCCACGAGATTATCGGAGGGCTTTGAAAAGCCACCAGGCCTGGGAGAGCTCTGACGACGTTGAGAGCTGATACACGGGAGCGTGCCATGGTCGTGATGAACGAACACACGTCCACCATGTCATTTCAGATCATCCCGATCCACTAACGGTGCTCTTAAGTACCTCAAGGACTGATCATCTTTCTCGTCAAGCCCGTCGCTAGGGCTCGTAGGCTAAATCAGTGGGACACAGCCCACTGAGTTTCTCGCCGGATCTTCTTACCGGGTCGTGTTTCCGATCCGGTGGTAGATTCTGCGAAGCACTTGCTAGGGCCAGTTTTAGCAACGTCGTTAGATTTGAGGCCCGTGAGCTCACCTCAAGGCTACCAGCATAGGAAAAAATAAAATAAAAAAAACGCGTCCAGTTTGTCTTTTGGACTAGTTTGGTGAGGTCCATGGAGACGGTTAGTGAGGCTCGGATAGCTTAGCGCCACAGGCGGGGGTGTCAACTGAACCGGGCGGCTGCGGACACAGTGAGCCGAGGAATGAGTCTACGTTCAGCTGACGTCTCTACATGTATTTATTTTTGTTATTAGGCCTTTTTTTTCTCACAAATCTTATAAATTTATTCCCCTAAGGATAACAATATATGTATTCTACGAACCGACCTTTTTTTTTTATTGCTTAGATGGGTGACAATGTCGAAAGACTTCTCATCACCAGCAAAGTGGAAGGAAAGAGGCCTAGGGGGCGTAGTCCCATGCGCTGGTCCGATCAGATTAAGACGACTTTGGAATCCAACATCAATGTCGCTATCCACTGCGCGGAGGACAGAAGTGAATGGAGGAACATAGTCCTGTAGGGGAATGATACCCCGCCCCGCTTAGCTTACTATGCAGTTATTGTGCATATAGTAATGAGTAGCATACTTTAGTCAGTCAGTGGTTAACGTGCAGCGATCCACCGCGGTCGCTGACGCGAATAAACATACAATTATACTCAGTATTTTATTGATCACTCTGATGAGGTTTCCGGAGGAGAGCGCACAGTAAACCCTCAACATCACGAAACCTCACAGCCCTAACAAAAGTGCTCAGTAAAGGTCACGACCCTCAGAACTGAGGAATACGACGCACGGAGGGAGGAGATGGGTGGACGAGCTCACAGCCCACCTGGTTTTATGTGGTTACTGGAGCCCATTGACATCTACGACGTAAATGCGCCACCCACCTTGAGATATTCAAACCGAAACGCATTACTGCTTCACGGTAAAAATGGGCCGGCGGAGGTACCTACCCGCGCGGACTCACAACAGGTCCTACTACCAGTATGGACGCTGCATTGTCCTCGAGGCTAGATCGACTTAACGCAATAAGACCTGGTTTTATTGAAAAAGATGGTGGCTCATTAATCTAACGCTTGGGAACCACGTTTTCGTCTTTATTTAAGTATTGGCTTTCAACGCCATTGTTGCCAGTGTAGAGTTTATAAAAATCATTAACTATAAAATACATAAATGAGATGCAGTTCATTTATTGGAGTCTTTAATCGATTGGGATGAAATTGAGTGGAACGGGATGAGATGAAATGAAAACTCGCCCTTTGCCTCAAGTCGAACAGGGGTCCTGTGGAGGAGTCGCGCGCACTCACCTGAGGAGCTCGCAGTGCTGGGGGCTGGGCTGCGGCCGGTCCGGGGGCTCCGGCGGCTGCTCGCCCGACGCCGCTGCACCGACAGTTGGGTTAGTGTCAACACGGGGGCGGGGGCGGGGGCGGGGGCGGGGGCGGGGGCGGGCATGGCTCATAATCAAATTGTATAATTAATAGCTCAGATTTTTCATATATATAAATTTTTAGAAGTTCGCTAATGACGTATATAGAGCGTTTCGAATAAGAATTTGCACGTCAGTGACCTTGATCTGTTGAAGTTCGATAAAAAAGTAAGGACAGCAAAAAAAAAAAAATCTATTTTTAGTGAATATTTTGTCTAATTATGAAAGCTATTAATATGTTTGTTTTAATGAAACATACACACCTCTATAATTTTCTTGATATCTTGAGTGCTGGTCGAGGTTAATTAAACACGAATTTAGATTATATAAAAAAAGGGTGCGTGTACTTATGTACGCGCGTAAGAAGTTATACTTTATTATTATTAAATTTCTTTTTTTAATATTAAATAATTAATAATAAATATTTAACGTTAATAATTTAATAATATTTAGTATGAATTATATTAAATAATAACTTTGTTATTTATATTACTAAATAATACATACGGATAGTTAACCTCAATTGTATTGGAGCACTTAGGAAGGTTGATGAGCACAGTTTTCTAATATTAATTACACACAAAATTACAAATATTTTCTAATATTAATTAGTATTGATTTAAATATTCAATTTAAATCACTTCTGATTATAATTCAGACGCACATATAAAATTCGCACTTGTATAATGAAAACAAAATGAAAACACGTGTTTTAAATGTAGAAACTCAGAGCAAGTGGATAAATATTATAAACATAAATACCCAGTGAACAGAGGCGGCGTGCGTGCCAACATGCGCCACTAACAGAGGTTCCATTTCTGTTTTGTTGGTAGCATTTTTTACGAGTGTACATGCGCGTAAGTTCACCTGCGGCTATATTCAGACTCGCCAAGTTACGTCGATCGTATTGTAATGAGCGATTTAATGGGCAACTTCATTCTGTTAATTATGTGTCACGGTGCGCGCGCATCGTAAAATTTCACTCTCATCAAATTTTTCATAACGCGCCTAAAGAAGTATAACTTCAAAAAAAACCAAGTCTGTAACACTATCGGGCCCTACAATCTATGGATGGGCGACGATGATGATGATTACTCAAGCAGCAAACTCAAAGATTTGGTTTATAAATTAATATTTAAAAATTCCTAACTTTTTTTGACCACCTATTTTTTTTCGATTTCACTGCTATGACGTCACAATATGACACAGGTCCATGTGTATTCTTATTTGAAACGCATTAACAAATGTTCACGAATACTCATGAACGCTCACGACCGGACATGACCATCACCGCTCATGACCATCGAATAAAAACAGCGTGACTTACCATGGTGGGTGTCTATCCGGCGCGGCGGGGCTGGGGGTGGCTCGCTGTGTCGCGGCAGAAGGGGGGGCACGCTCTCCTCTTTACTCTGCGGGACACACGGTGCGGTTAGCGCGGGGCGGGGGCGGGGGCGGGGCGTTGGGGCGGGGGGTTGGGGGCGGGGCGACGCTCACCTCGTGCTTCCTGGCGCCGAGCTCGAGGCTGTGTCGGCTCGTGTAGAAGGAGTCGGCGTCGACGATGGGGTTCCGCGGCGATAAGTTCTGTGGTTTTCTCTCGACGGGTGCCGGCCTGCGGACAACGGGGGGACTGTTGCTACTGTATGCGTATTGTCATTGTATGTGAGTCAATGTCTTGATTTTAATTCAAAATTAATTGATGCTCATGAATATTCATGATTGCTCACAGCTAAAATTACTGTAGTGAAACGCACAGTGCGAGGTCCACTCACCGGTCGTGCCTGGGGGAGTGCTTGTCCCTGGGGGAGGGCGGCTCGCTGTTCCTGTGCAAACAATTCAGTTTCATTAGTCATGAGTAATCACCCGTGAGCCGCGGGGCAGGGGCGGGGGGGTGCTCACCTGTGGCTCCTGCCCTTGTCGAACAGACTGAGCTTCTTGTCGAAGAGGCTGAGCTGGCTGAGCGAGCGCGCGTCGGCCTTGGGGCTGCCGGCCTCCGCCCTGCCGCCTGCGACACGCGCCGCAAGGTTAGACTCAACGAAACGCAGAAACAATTATAATTAATAGTTCACTAAAACAAAGAAGTATGCGACCCTCTCCCGGTCACATCTATCTATTCAGTCGAGCGCGCCACTAGGGGGCTGCGGGGGCGACGCTTTAAAAACTATCTGTGAGCTCCAACCTAAGTCAGTGCTCATGAAGACTCAACACTTAATATTATTTTGATATGAACGAGTGTTAACATTATAGTCAATTGTCCTTAATGAAATGTGCGTGACACACTCACAAGTAATCACGAGTGCTCATAGGACAAGGCTAGTGTAAGACGTACAACGTGTGCGAGCACTAACCTCTGTGGTCGTCGTGGTGCATGGGCAGCGACGCCACCGACGCGCCGTCCCACGAGCTGCCCGTGGGGGACAGCTGCGACACGCCTGTGGGGGGGGGATGGTCACGGTCAGTTTTATTGCTAGTACTCACGATCGCTCACGCAAGCCGCGGAGATAAGTAACACAATTGTTGTGTAAGTGATAAATTGTTGGACTCGGGGGTGCCGGCTGACATGTCAAAGTGACACTGACAGTCATGTCCAATCGACTTTTTGGCGGGAACGCGAGGAGTGAAGTTGTGTGATTTGTTTTATTTTGTCTATTAGGGATTTATTAAGGTTTAAATGTGTAATAACGGTGTTTAATATCTGTGAAAGTGCACAAATGTTGAAAAATGAAACAAAGCCGCTGGACGTAGATTTTCGGGATCCCCCAAAAAGTCCACTAAAAAAAATTCAGTAAATGACCACCATTTTACTGAGATTATATTTCATCCCATATCATCTCATTTCATTTAATTCCATCCCGGACATTAATGTCTCAAATTAATCATCTTAATTTCATTTCATTTCACTCTGTATTATCATTTTTCATAAAAATAAGAATATAAATTAAAATAAGACATTACTTAAAAGTCTTAGTTACCAGGTAATAAAATCCATAAAAAAAAAAATTATGTCCAATTGTTTTCACTGGTGATGAAGGATCTTGTGGGCCCCCACCGGTGGTTTCACCCTATTCCTACCACGAAGCAATAATGCAATCTGGTTTGAAGGGTGGGGTACCCGTTGGACTGTTAGTTGAGGTTTACAAGTCTGGCGACGATATGACCACTCGGGTGGCAGCAGTACCGTTGAGGTCGTCAGCGCAAAAGTGGTCTAAGCTTACCACATTTAGTATGAAGATAACACGGTTCGAATTTACTTTTACACTGCTTCGCAGGTAAAAGCGACACGCGCCAAAATAATGTGAACAGCGCCATCTGTTGTCTACGGGCGGAACCAGGGATAGAACAGGTTTCATCAATATGAAGAATTGTGGGTCAGGTCACTTGTACGCGGACTCACTGAGGTTGTCGTCGCAGGTGGAGTGGTCGTGCTGGTTCCTCCGGCTGGCCTTCACCTGCTTCAGCGACAGGTCCGGGTACTTCCTGGGCTGCAATCAGACCGAGTTACACGCCTCGCCTCGCGCTAACCAAACTCAATACTAATTACTGAACTGAGAGCATTGATCAGGTAGTAGTGACGTCACGGCGTGCGGGGGTGCTGCGCGGGGCGAGGGGGGCGGCACTTACATACTTCGGCATCTGTTTGACCGGCGGCCGGGGCTCTATTTCCAGACTTTTGTTGTACAAATAATTAGTGATCTCGATGTCGTCTTTCCCAGGAAAGGGATCCAGCGACTCCAGGAATGCCTGTGAAAAGGAAACCACACTAGAATTAGTTATTTACTTATTACTTACTTCCTAAGTTATGTAAGATACTTGTGTATAGTAGCTAGTAAATCTGGCCATGATTTTTTTATTACTATTGATTTTAAAGTTACATTCTAAAAAAAATATCGATCATTTATTTGTCTTCAAAGAAGTCTTTAAGTTATTTCGAATATTTTATTCATTATTCCTTTAAAATTGTTTTTTTAAATATTTTATGCTCCTCAATTATACACATTAAATTTTAATTCAACAAATTATACTAGCGATCCGGGCCGGCACCCACCCTGGTCCTGGGCTCCACGGTGAGGCAGTAGGGCTGGTTCTGGTACTGCTGGATCTCGCCCGTGATCTCCGCCACTTTTCTTCGCTTCGAGAAATTTATTAATTCGGAATTTGGAAGGTAGTCTGAAACAATCACATTTGTTATTAACGTTTTGCTCCCTCCTCACCCCGCGCGATGCCAGACACGCGTCTACTCGCGAGGTGGCGGCCGGACCTGGTGTCAACTCACCCAGGTTCCCCTCCTCGATGTGCAGGATGTTGGTGAGGTACATGCCGAAGAAGGGGACGCACGGAGGGTTGATACTCCTCAGCCTCTCCTGGTATCTCCGGAAGTGATCTGTGTTCAGCTCCCGGAGCTCCTCGAGGTATTTTTGCAGGCGGAGAGGAATCAACTGCGGAGTTATTATTGACGTCACAATCTGTCTCATTCCAAATAATTAGTATGGTTTCGGTAGTTGCATGTTATGTGCATGGTGAGGACCTGGAAGGTGGCCCGGAGTCTGTGCACGGAGGCGCTGCCGGCGGCGGCCACGACGGCCAGCACGCCGTTGAAGTTGTTGAGGTGCAGCAGCGCCACGCCCAGCTCCAGCACGCGGCACACCACCGCCACGCGCTCCTCCAGGTTCTCGCTCTCCACTATCCACTTCTCCATCCAGCGCGTGAACTGCCTCGCCAAGATGTCACAATCAATTCAATTATAATAAATAATAATAAGCCTTGTGCCGTCTTCGCGGCAAATTTTAAATCTGACATTTTACAACGCCAATCGATCTCCACGTTCGGATCCATCAAATGACAGCGAAGCTACATCGCATGCACACACACATCGATTACGAACGGGAGCCGAGCAACACGCAACCGTATCTAGAACATTTAAACTTAACCGAAATCGACGACCGCGGAACAGTGCACGCGTCCAGGAGCTCCAGTGGCAGTCCCAGGTGCGTATGTGCATTTACACAATTTGTTGAATCCTAGACGTACATCGGGGACCTAGGATACCTTGCTGGGCAAGTTCCGTAGCCATCCCCGACCAGGGATCGATTGGTTTGTCCAGACCCAGTGTGTGTGTCGCGACGATAACCGGCTAAAACAAACTANAGCTCCAGTGGCAGTCCCAGGTGCGTATGTGCATTTACACAATTTGTTGAATCCTAGACGTACATCGGGGACCTAGGATACCTTGCTGGGCAAGTTCCGTAGCCATCCCCGACCAGGGATCGATTGGTTTGTCCAGACCCAGTGTGTGTGTCGCGACGATAACCGGCTAAAACAAACTACCGAGCCGGGAACTAACGTCTCACATACAAGCCTTTTATTTCATGCAAATAATAGGTTACATACACGTTTCAAGTATGAAGAAGAAATTATAAAGAAGAAAAGAAAAAAGAAAAAAAAGGAAAGAAGAAAAAATAATAGTGATGCTGTTTACACTTGTTTACCCCTTTCTCCTTCCTCCTCTCATCCCTCTTCCCTCCCTCCCCTCGTTTAGAAAATTATAAATGTAGATAGTGCTTTTAAAAAAAGTTTATAGTGTGTAAATATAAAAGTTTGTTTACATGAACCCTCCTCAAATGAAGGTGAAGGCCTCCTCTAAAGAATACCATGTATCTTTATCTTGGGCTATTTGCGGCCAGCGGGTACCAGCTATTTTTATCAGCTCGTCTAATTAAATTACCGATAATTAATATGCATGACTTTAATATAGATATTGTCTCGTTTCTTGTTATTAATATCTAATTTGACATTTGACATAGACTAAATCGCTACACATCGACAATATCCAGCTGACAGTAAGGCGACGCGACGGATTGACAACAACACATTCTGAGAGCAAGCCAAGCATCTAGTGCGAACGTTAACAAGTCCTCGAGCTCTGTGCTTATATTCTGGGAGGGATGGTTTGGACCACCATGAGACTTCTCTCTTCACCACCCACCACCGGAACACAATACTCAGCGAGAAATCATTACTTAAGCCTTTTAAGGAGATAGAAGAGAGGAGAGAAGAGAGAGGAGGAAGATGTGCGTCCTACTCACGTTGGTCGTATGCTTTATAATCTTCAACAGGTTAGGGCTAGTCTTCTCCTTGTCTTTTTTCGTCCACACGGCGCCGACCAGCTCTGAAGGTTTTACCTTGAAAAATATAGATGTTTTTATATCGCGCAAGAGACAAGAGACATATTTATGTATTACTCCAAGAGCGCAGGCGGTGTCCAGCCGCGCACCACCTACGAACCCTATCGGACCCTCCCGGTCCCCTTTCGGGGCTTTAGGCACTCCCAGCACTGAACCAACCTCCCCCCCTGACATCATGGACACCCTGTCCGCGGTCCCCCGGGGACGCTAGATGTTGACCAAATACGTACTTTCTTGTGGGACACTTATCAGACAACGATTTTGTTCGTTTCTTTAGCTCCGGATATGTTTAGTAGAGCTACAAGTGAGACTGACGCGATCGCTCCGTGGACGTCTACAGCATTCTAGACAGTTCCCACTCGCCCACCGCCGGACACAGAACCCTGGTCGCTGATTCAGACTGACCGGTTATGAAGTTTGAATAAGCTTGGTTGTGTGAATATGAGAGAAGCATACAGACCTGCCTGTAGAGATGGAAGTGCAGCAACGTGATCTGCCTGGCGAGCTCGAGCGGGTGCAGCGCCAGCGGGTGCCAGTCGCAGCGCTCGGGGTCCGACACGTGCCGCAGCACCGCGGGGGGCGCCCGGTCGAACACGTGCGACACCGCGCCCTCGCCCTCCGCCGGCTGGCTCTACCGTCACAACACACGCTCGCTCTACACTCCGCCCGCCCCGCGCGCAGCACGGCGGGGGGCGCCCGGTCGAACACGTGCGACACCGCGCCCTCGCCCTCCGCCGGCTGGCTCTACCGTCACAACACACGCTCGCTCTACACTCCGCCCGCCCCGCGCGCAGCACGGCGGGGGGCGCCCGGTCGAACACGTGCGACACCGCGCCCTCGCCCTCCGCCGGCTGGCTCTACCGTCACAACACACGCTCGCTCTACACTCTCCTTACCACTAAGCTATCTATCATTTTAATAAATGAATATTTCGTGAGCACGCAGTGTAATCCAGACAGCTTGGGGCCATTGACCCTCGCGTTACATTGACTGCTGGTTCAAAGGACATTAGTAAAGTAAAACATATTGACTGCGAGTATTCCTAGAGGTTCAGACGTACCTTCCTCTGCAAGGTCTTGAGCACGCTCTGGACCCACTTCCTCATGGGTTTCCCGTCGACGGACTCCAGGAACTCTCGGAGCTCGTCCAAAAGCTCGGGATCTCTTTCGAAATCATAAAAGTGTTGATCCACCCAGTGCCTAATAACGTTAATAACCCTGCAACAAGAGTACACCGCTGGGGTCAGCGATCACCGAGCTGGTCTGCGGCCCCGGAGGACACGAGACAGCAAGAACTCACCTAAACTTGACGGGCTGCTGGAACTCCTTCCTGTACCTCTTCCAGTCTTCCCTCACGGTGTTCTTGCTGAGCTTCTCGGCGTCGCTGCTGGCCACACTCTCTATGCTCTCCGCTGCGAAAAGTGCAATCAACGTCATTATTCACTGCGTATTCTTTTCTGTCTACCCTCTAGTAAGTTTTTGTTTCAAATTTAGCAAACAAGCTCACAGACATGTTGGCGAGCAGATTTCCAGCACACAGCATACATTGACTTCGAAACAAAATATTTTTTATATATTTGAAAATCCAGAATAACACTAATAATTACTTCAAAACATCATACAGCTTGCAACGTACAGCACAATGGGTTGGAGGGTAGGACATCATTAATACATTTAATACCCAACTACTTCTTTACGGATTTTAATGTTGAAAACAATATCACAATAGTATATAAGAATAATTATATATATATAGATCATTGGTGTTAATGAAAGTAATCCAAAAGGTAAAAAAGTAGGTTTTGAAAAATGTGTTCCAACAGACAGTGCATAGAGATGGGACTATCTTTCTTTAAATTAGGACAATATCACACTACATCTACTACAACTTTATATACATTTATTCTTTCTCTCTGATTCTTGTTCCATTCTATTAAGATTTGTTTTAATACCACACTACGTTATATCTATTGGAGCAATCATAAGTTTTACTGGATTTATTGTTTATAACCGTGAATGTTAGGGGAGAGTGTGGATGTATACGTTACCTATATCGAGGTCTAGCAGCGTCGCGCTAGGACTAACATCCTTCTTCACTTTCGTCCTTGGCGCTTGCGTTAACAAAATATATGCTGTTAGTTATATATAGAGCATCCGCTGGACGCGGGCTTGGGTTCGCTGGCATCCTTGGTAAATGTACGACACGCCATTTGCCAAACCTACTGGCTCACCACAAATGTACCAATAACATGAAGCATGCGTGTTAGACATTGAGTGAAGTTTGTTGGCAAGTTTAAACTGAGGACAGTCAGATCGATGTGTTCAGTGTAGTGTAGTGGGTACCTGGGGGCGGCTTGTCGTAGACGTCGGCGGGCTCGGGGATGCGGAACCGCTCGATGAGCAGCGCCAGCAGTTCGCGGGGCTCGCAGAAGGAGCGGTAGGTGGTGAGGAAGGTGCGCACGAGCGCCAGGTCGGCGTACACGTGGTACGTGAGGCGCTCCACCAGCTTGAGCAGCGTGGCGCCCTTGACGAGCGGCACGAGCGCGGGGCGGCGCACGGGCGGCTGCTCCAGCAGGATGTTGTGCGGCGCGTCGGCCACCGCGAACCGGTACAGGCGCGGCGGGGGCAGCCGCAGCGGGTGCCGCCGCTCCAGCTCCGACAGGATGCTCTCGAGGAACCGGTCCAGCATGGGCTTGGTGTTGAGCATGACGAGGTCGCACATCCAGTTCCGCTTGTCGGGCGCCGACGCGCACGCCAGCACCACGGGGCCGCCCACGCGCGGGGACAGCTCCAGCAGGTGTCGCGCCTCGTCCGTGTCGGGCCGGTCCACGATCTCCAGCTTCCGGATGTGCAGCTTCTCCTTGAGCTTGAGCTGCACGGCGCCCACCCCGCCGGCGCCGCCCCCGCTGTTCACCGTCACCTGCACGGTCAGGTCGCCCAGCGGTCAGTGGTACATAGTGAGGTGCGACAGAGAGCTACCGGATGCAGGATGGAGACTGACCAGGCTGGTGGCGGGCTTGCACAGCAGCAGCAGCCCGTCGAACAGGTAGGCCCTCCGCTCGGCCACCTTCTTGCCGGGCCCTATCTTCGACAGTATGTCTTCTGCAATACGATAAGCGGTGTAAGAGAAAAGTAACGGGGG